ACAGCTTCGCGTCGTACCTAACAACACCCCGTAGCTGTTATAAACTCACTGTAAACCACGGCTTCACGGGGCGTATTGCTTTGTTATTATAGTTTCGCCTGAGCTGAAGTGTGAGGAGGCGTGTCACTTGCAGTCTTCATAGAGTAATATTGTTAGGTTTAGATTATTTACAGTTTTGGGAGGTCCTGATGTGGTTTAGTTGGTCTCCTGTGGCCTGGTGTTGTTTAGTCTCTGCTGAAAGCTGACAGAATGCGGTGTGTTTTCTCTCTCAGTCTCCAGAAGCGGCTCGTCTGTCTGCAGAAGACATCAGCCCCAGCTCTAACGGACCCAAGGCCGAGCCCGTGCTGCTGGACGACGACCCCGACGACCCCGACGACCTCTTCGCTGGTCTGTGACTCTAGAGTCGGGTTTGATTATAACGCGTTCTCAGAGTCTGTAGATGTCACAATCCGTCTCCGATGCAGTAATGAGCTATTTACATATTCAGAACGTGGAGCTTCAGGATTGGGTAGTTTTGAGAATGCTCTGTTTCTATTGGCTCACAGCAGAACAGTGCTGTTCAGATGTTTGTGGTCAGTGCGGTATATATATATTTTTTTTAATGAAAGAAATTAATACTTTTATTCATCATTGATGCATTAAAGTGATCAAAGGTGACAGTAGGCATTTATAATGTTACAAAATGTAATGTTAATAATTTGACAGCACTAATATATATATATATACTATTTATTCCGTTTTTTTAAGGTATCTAATATTTTGATATTTAATTTGCATGATCTAAATATTCTTAAAAATTAAAAGTGTGTTGTCATTTGGAAGCGTGTAGACCTTCTTGTGTGGTGACCGGTCTACTAGTGATCTCGTTCTCTTCATATCTCAGAGATCGTGCGGTTTGACTCACTCACAGAATCACATTTGTGACCACTGCTGGCGAAATGAGTCACAATGAGCACATTTTTAAAAATTCTCTATTGATTTTTCTATTCATTCTCTATTGAAAGCCCTTCACAAAGATGCATGATTTGTTGGAATCGGAAAATGACTGAGCTACATCTGTTTGACGTCAATTAAGAGAAAAACTGATTTTTCTGAAGGTTTCAAAGCTTTTGTCTTTCTTTTCCGCCACTATAATCATTACTGGATTAATAATCAGAATACAGCTGTTTTTTATTGCATCGTTGTTGTTATAAACAAGAACCGATGCAACAACAACAAAAAAAGAACAAATATAAGAAAGAAAAAACTATGCACTGCAAAAAATGATTCTCTTACTTCGTGTTAGTGTCTTGTGTTCTAGTATAAATATCTAAACATTCTTGACTCAAGATGCATTTACTGTACGAGTGAAATGATTTAAGATATTAAGTCTTGTTTTCTAAAATAAAAAAAAAATTTTTTTTTTGTTTAAAACAAGCAAAAATATCTGCTAATGCGGCAAGAAAAATCATCTTGTTTAGCCTTTGAATTAAGATTATTTTTGTATATTTAATACACGGCTTATACAGTATATTAAGACATAGTGTGATGCACGGATCTAATATAATGTTACACATCAGATGTTTTTCCCCAAACGTTCACTTCAGACAGAACAGATTATGTTTGCGTGAATACTTCAATATATTTAGCCTGCTGTAAATCACATGTGTTTCTCACGTTCACTGGACTCTTCCTCTCTAGGATGAAGATGAAGAGGAAAGCAGGGACACGTTTGACATCCAGATCTCGGTTTCTGACCCTGAGAAAGTTGGTAAGGTGTTTGAGGACGAGCTGTGAATCCATAGAGCTTTCCAAATGTTATCAGGAGCAGGATATTTACTCATATACTGTGTGTGTGTGTGTGTGTGTATATATAACATTTTTATCAATATTAATTAATTTTTATGTGTGTGTGTGTATGTATATGTGTATATATATATATATATATATATATATATATATATATGCATTTATTTATTTATATGTATTTTTTCATATTTATTTATTTGTTTGTTTTTTATTTATATATACTTTATTTTATATTATTTATTTATTTATTAAGATTGACCACAGTTTCTTGTGTATTTGTGCACACATGTCGATTCTGATTGTTATTAATTTCTTTGTTTTTCTAGGTGACGGCATGAATGCGTACATGGTCTATAAAGTGTTGACCAAAGTAAGAAAGGCTTGAGGTTCTGGTCTGAGATGTTGTGGATCTTCTGGAGGACGTGTGTGACTCTCTTTCTCTGTGTTTGCAGACCAGTCTGTCTATATTCAGCAGAGACGAGGTCTGCGTCAAGAGGCGCTTCAGTGATTTTCTGGGTTTGCACAGTAAATTAGCCTCCAAGTACATGCACATGGGCTACATCGTTCCTCCTGCGCCTGAGAAGAGCATTGTGGGTAAGTCCGTGCACGAATGATCAGAGACGTGATCTGATGGCGTCAGATCAATGATGAGCTTGTGTGCGTGCGTGTGCGTGTGTGTGTGTGTGTGTGTGTGTGTGTGTGTGTGCGCGCG